GATCGCAGAGCCGAATCGGACGCGGGCTGGCCAGCCGGGTGCAGGTGGCAGGGAGGCGGTGGAGGGAGGGAGCCACTGCAGCTACGGCCACAGCACACCCCCCTTCACAAGCAGGGTCCATGGAGCCCCCCCCACTGTCCACTAGGCCATAGGTGAGGTGACACAATTTTTAAAACAACATCCGTGGACATTTTATCCCCGGAAACATAAAATAAACCTTTTTTATATATTCACCCGATCCCTGCATCCACCAAAAGTGCAGCCTCCCGTATCCCACGCTGTTAGAAGCTGCATACAGCGTGTGCTGGTTACTACTTAAACCGGCGCCCTGTGTGCAGCTTCTGAGAAGATACGCTATTAGCGTAGCGGGAGCGATGCAAAATGCGCAGCCTGACCCTCGCTACCGGTTTAAGTAGTAACAAGCACATGCTGTATGCAGCTTCTAACAGCATGGGAGAAGGGAGACTGCGCTTGTCGGTGGATCCAGGGATCAGGTGAGTATTCCCGGAGACATAGCTTGTCTGGGGACGGTCTCCTCAAGCTGGGGACTGTCCCCAGAAATCGGGGATGAATGTAGAGCTGCAACAACTAATCGACTAAGTCGATTATAATTGATGATTGAAAAAGTTGTCAACATTTTCAATCATCGATTAATCAGCTTTCGATTAGTTGGCCCTGTTCACGGCTTCACACATGGCGCGTGTACGTGGGTAGAAGAAGTAAGGAGGAGCAGGTGTGAGGGGATGACAGCCGCCGACAGACAGGCCCGATCTCAGAAGCAAGTTGCTGGAAGACTGCTCAGGTAAGCCTGCACTTTCCCACACATGGTGCTCTATAATGTATTAATGGGATAGTGGGATTTGTATTCCTCTATAGCTGATGGTACATTGTGCTGTATATTATACCATCAGCTATAGAGGACTACAAATCCCAGCAATACATTATACACTGTATGTATAATGTATTGCTGGGATTTGTTGTATTCCTATATAGCTGGGGTATTCTGCATTGCGCTGTATAGAGGACTACAAATCCCAGCAATAATACATTATACAGCACAATGCGGAATTCCACCAGCTATAATGTACTATTGCTGAGACACAGTGGAGCCCCCACTACCCACCTGGGAGCTACCACAGAGCCACCACTAATTATTAGGGAGCCCCCATTGGCCACCACAGATCCCACACTGACCAGCAGAGAGCCCGCACTGACCACCTGAGAGCCTAATTAGGGAGCCGCCTCTGCTGCACCCGTGAAACTCTCTAGACCCCTGGTGAGAGCCCGCACAGCCCACCTGAGACCCTGGAGACATCAGGCGGAGAACCCAGAGCAACAGAGTATCTAGCTTCATATTATTCTGCATTGCTGTAACATGTATTGCTAGGATTTGTATTCCTCTATAGCTGATGCTGTTCTGCATTGCTGTATAATGGTATTGCTGGGAATTGTAGTTCTGTATAGCTGTTGGTAATTATTATTGCTGGGATTTATAGTCCGCTATAGCTGATGGTGTTCTGCATTGTTGTGTAATGTATTGCTTGAAATTGTAGTTCTCTATAGCCAATGCCATTCTTTAATGCTATATAATGTATTTCTGAGTTAGTGGCAGAACTACCAGGGTCGCAGCAGTCATGCACACGCACGGCCCTGACGAGGCATCCCTCCACTACCAGTGTGCTTTAAATTTCCTAAACCGATAAATACATTCACACTACTGTTACATGGATGGCAAAAGTGGCAGACAGGGGCGGGGAGAAGGCGCGGAAGAGGCAGAGTGGGCGGGGGGGCCAAGTTGCTGCACCATGGTCCTCTGGGTTGTACTTGCCCCCTGGGCTAAAAGTTGCCAGTCAGCCCCTGCTGGCTACTGCACCCACCCACTGCCTGCTGTCTTTCAGCAGAGGAGGGACCTGAAGTTCTCCATCAGGTCCACCTCTGTTGATTGACAGCAGGCAGTGGGCGGGTGCAATAGCCATAAACGAAAAAGAGCGCCTCCATAGTGTAAAAACAAATATTTAATTATAAAAGTATACAGCTTGTATTCTACTTACAAAAAGTCAGTAGTAAAAAGGCAAATAGGAAATAACAGGAATCAAATCTTCTAGCAGGGGAAGTCTGAAACGTATGTATGTTGTCAGCGTCCACTGCCCCTGTGAGATCAAAGGCTTACGCGTTTCTGGGGCACGCCCCCTTTAAGGTAAAGAGAAACCTCCGACAGTCTGTGAGCTTCCTCCATGTGTCGTCTACTCAACCCTCCTCTCCTGTCCGCACAATCGTTCTCCATTCCAGCAGCTGACCGCAATAGCCAGCCTGTTCTGCAATTTAAAAGAGCCAATAACAGGTTGGCTATTGCGGTCAGCTGCTTACCGCCTGTAGGGAGAAACCACTGACAGTCTGTGAGGCTGCAGTGGAGAGAACGGGATGGGCAAAGACTGTGCTGCTTTGCGCTAGCGCCGGGACTGGGTACACTGTCAGCTCCCCCGCCTCAGCTTTCACACACACACACATCACCCTGCGGGAGCCGCTGAACGCGTGTGGTGTCTGACAGCTGAGGCGGCGGGGCTGTTGGCGCAGGAGATTGTCCAGATCTGGGGGGGAATATTCGCTCCATGAGACGCACTGACATTTTGCCCACCTTTTGGAGGGAAAAAAAGTGCGTCTTAAGGAGCGAAAAATACGGTAATTAAAATTCTAAGGGGACCTTTAACTGGGGATTTCTTGCAAAACGTTATCTGTACAACAGTTGCTTCTGTTTTGACATGGACATGACACTGAATATTTAAAATGTGGGGTGTATCTTAAAAATGCATTCAAGTACCTTAACTATTAACAAAAATGTTACATCTTTGTGCATCAATCAGCTGTAGAACGTCAAATCATCTCTAAATTGGTTCTGACACTGTCCTTCCGTCTGGATGGTGGCTACTTCTGATCCTCATTGTCCCTGTGTGTGTTGTAAAGTAGCCACTGTTCCAATCTCCCTCCCGTCATAGACTATAACTTCAATACAAATTAGTTAACTAATCATGAGTTTGTAAACTTGGGGTGGTGGCTAAATTACAACACACACAGGGACCATGGGGAACAAAAGTAGTCACCCTCCAGAAGGAAGGACAGTGTCAGCAAGAATTCAGAGATGATTTAAGGATCTACAGCTGAGTGATACACATAAGCTACATTTTTATTAATAGGGTACTTGAATGCATTTTTAAGATTTAACTCCTAAGTTTAGTGTCATTTTAAAGAAGAACTCTAGGCAACATTTTCATTAACCTTTGCAGTGGGGCTACCCCCGCACTGCAAGGGTTAACTGTTCGTTTTTGTCTAGGGAGAAAAATAAAAAGGATATACTTCTTCTTCTTCTGAGCTGGCTTGTTCTTGCACTGTTCCCTTAGAAGAATCTTCCCTATTTGCAATATCTTCCCCATCTCATGAATTTGTCCATTATTTGTTTCACCTCCATGTCAGAAATCTTCCTTCTCCACTGTGCCTCTGTTTCTCATAAATCTCTCTGCTGCTTTACACTCTTTCAGAAAACTTTTCTTACTCTCATGTAACCCCCATCTTCCAAATCTTCTCTCTTGTCCCATCCTCATTTCTTCTTCTTCTCCTCCCTAGTCTTATAAATCTTCTCTCATAAGCCACTCTCAGCAGTCGCACTTCTAAAAACTCTCTGCAATAAAACTGAATAAACTTGCGACCTGCTGTACTGCTACTACACATTCATGAACCCATATAACACTAGGTTGATAATTCAGTCGCACATTGCGCCTGAATTCTGTGTTGCGACAGGTTTATTGTTGCAGAATATATGACTACAATCATAAATTCCCCCCAGTTTATAGGACGTGAGGATGCTGAGGGACATACCATTGCTGCAGCGTAGGAGGATACAGGCTGGAGAGAGCGCTGTGACAGCTGGCCAGATCCAAGGTTCAGGTGAGTATAACTTTTTTATTTTCCTCCCTAGATGAAAAGAAGCAGGCAACCCTTGCAGTGCGAGAGTAGCCCCATTTTTTATTAAGAGGGTTAATAAAAAATGTTTAAGCTATATATGAAAAAGATAAATTGGTGGAAACTATTAAAGATCTTTGTACACAGGCAGCTAGATTCTTAGTAGATAACAGTGTTTGGTGGTATTGTGTAATACAAATATTATGATTGAAAAAGACTGAAAATAGCCCTTCTCAGTTTTGCTTTGTATTGACTAATATTTTATTATCCATGTATATCACTTTTTTTTTTACTCTGTACAGACAGGAACGTGATCAGGAGACACCCCCAGATTTCTTCTACTTCTCAGATTTTGAAAGGCACAATGCTGAGATTGCAGCTTTCCACCTGGACAGGTATATTAAAAAAGCCAGTTTTACTAATGCTTTACATCTATATGTAAAAATTAGAGGTGCACCGAAATGAAAATTTTAAAACCGAAACTAAACCAAAATGAAAAATTTTAAAAAATATTTTATTTTTATTTATTTTTTAGAAACTTTTACATTTTTTATATTTTATTTTTATTTATTTA